AAGCTTGAGCTCCACCTTTTTTGCACTTCTTCTACGAGTGATGTCACTGGGGGTAGGGTAGTAGAGCCGCGCGTGCCTGTGGAAGGCCTGCCCACCCGTCGCTAGAAGAGCTCGTTCTGACGCCGAAAACTACTCGAAAGGTCCCCCCTCAAAGCGGTTTGACCAGGTGAAGGAACACGCAAAGAGAGCCCCCGGTGGCTTTTGTCCGCTAAGCGAGTGTGCCCTGTGGAATGTCAGAATTTTATTTTTACCGGCCTGCCGCTGTTACTGACGGAACGAATGCAGATCGTGTGAAAGGTCATCATTTTATCTGCCATTAAGTAAGCGAACGCTTCGGCTCGGATCAGAGGTAACTTTGTTTCAAGAACTGCAATCTTTTGCAGACGTCTGTGGCGTTTTGGGCAGAGGGACGGTTCTAAACCAATCTGAACCAGAGGCAATTTCGCAGCCAGCCGTCGGTGGTTTCCCGTCCCAGGAATGTAAGGTGCTTGCAGCGGGAGGTTGTTTCGTTAGCGCTTCCGCTTCCGTCAGTGAAGTTCTTTTGCGGAACGTTTGTAGATCCCGTCGTCTTCTTCAAGCTATGTCGTTTGAGCACTGTGCTGATAGGCTGACGTAAGAAAACAGGACACAAAACATACAAGGCAAGAGTGCAAAGCACGGAGCTCTAGGCAAAGGCGGTCCGAACCGCAGCAAAGCAGGAGGTCGACATGTCCAAATAGACCAAATCAGAAACTAAGCAGAGAAAAACGGCATCTGTAGAGAAAGAAAACAGATGGAGGAAAAGAAAGAAAGAACAGGAGGATCCCCTCCCCTCCCCCCATAGAGGCTCTGTTATCCCCAGATCGAGTGCGTCCGGTGGAATCCATGTGTTGGCAGCCCCAACTGATGACAAAACACAGAGCAAGCATCTGGAGGAAGCTCAAACTCTTCATGCGTTGCCACAGTTACTAGCGAGTGGTTTGCAGGCACAGGCACGTCTGCTGCAAGTACAGCGCCGTCAGGAGACAGGGGTTGCTGGCCCATTCCCCATGCTCGGTGGCTGGGCATCACCGCCCTGGAGTACGGCCGATAGAAAACGGCGGCTGCCATTTGCGCCGCCCGGCAACTCATACTTACCTGGCAGGGGAGATACCATGATCAAGAAGGTGGTTCACCCAGGGCAAGGCTTGGCCATTGCACTCCGGCCACGCTGACCCCTGCGAATTCCCCAAATGTGGGAATCTCGACTGCATAATTTCTGGTAGTGGGGGACTGCGTTCGCGCTCTCCCCTGAGCACAGTGGTTCAAGACAAAGTTCAGGCGGTAGCGTCGGACCCGGCTGGAGCCAAGTGGTGCTCGCTGCAGAGCCATTTGAGGAGAGCTGAGCTCCAGCGAGGGGGAGCTTAAGCTTGAGCTCCACCTTTTTTGCACTTCTTCTACGAGTGATGTCACTGGGGGTAGGGTAGTAGAGCCGCGCGTGCCTGTGGAAGGCCTGCCCACCCGTCGCTAGAAGAGCCCGTTCTGACGCCGAAAACTACTCGAAAGGTCCCCCCTCAAAGCGGTTTGACCAGGTGAAGGAACACGCAAAGAGAGCCCCCGGTGGCTTTTGTCCGCCAAGCGAGTGTGCCCTGTGGAATGTCAGAATTTTATTTTTACCGGCCTGCCGCTGTTACTGACGGAACGAATGCAGACCGTGTGAAAGGTCATCATTTTATCTGCCATTAAGTAAGCGAACGCTTCGGCTCGGATCAGAGGTAACTTTGTTTCAAGAACTGCAATCTTTTGCAGACGTCTGTGGCGTTTTGGGCAGAGGGACGGTTCTAAACCAATCTGAACCAGAGGCAATTTCGCAGCCAGCCGTCGGTGGTTTCCCGTCCCAGGAATGTAAGGTGCTTGCAGCGGGAGGTTGTTTCGTTAGCGCTTCCGCTTCCGTCAGTGAAGTTCTTTTGCGGAACGTTTGTAGATCCCGTCGTCTTCTTCAAGCTATGTCGTTTGAGCACTGTGCTGATAGGCTGACGTAAGAAAACAGGACACAAAACATACAAGGCAAGAGTGCAAAGCACGGAGCTCTAGGCAAAGGCGGTCCGAACCGCAGCAAAGCAGGAGGTCGACATGTCCAAATAGACCAAATCAGAAACTAAGCAGAGAAAAACGGCATCTGTAGAGAAAGAAAACAGATGGAGGAAAAGAAAGAAAGAACAGGAGGATCCCCTCCCCTCCCCCCATAGAGGGTCTGTTATCCCCAGATCGAGTGCGTCCGGTGGAATCCATGTGTTGGCAGCCCCAACTGATGACAAAACACAGAGCAAGCATCTGGAGGAAGCTCAAACTCTTCATGCGTTGCCACAGTTACTAGCGAGTGGTTTGCAGGCACAGGCACGTCTGCTGCAAGTACAGCGCCGTCAGGAGACAGGGGTTGCTGGCCCATTCCCCATGCTCGGTGGCTGGGCATCACCGCCCTGGAGTACGGCCGATAGTAAATGGCGGCTGCCATTTGCGCCGCCCGGCAACTCTTACTTACCTGGCAGGGGAGATACCATGATCAAGAAGGTGGTTCACCCAGGGCGAGGCTTGGCCATTGCACTCCGGCCACGCTGACCCCTGCGAATTCCCCAAATGTGGGAATCTCGACTGCATAATTTCTGGTAGTGGGGGACTGCGTTCGCGCTCTCCCCTGAGCACAGTGGTTCAAGACAGAGTTCAGGCGGTAGCGTCGGACCCGGCTGGAGCCAAGTGGTGCTCGCTGCAGAGCCATTTGAGGAGAGCTGAGCTCCAGCGAGGGGGAGCTTAAGCTTGAGCTCCACCTTTTTTGCACTTCTTCTACGAGTGATGTCACTGGGGGTAGGGTAGTAGAGCCGCGCGTGCCTGTGGAAGGCCTGCCCACCCGTCGCTAGAAGAGCCCGTTCTGACGCCGAAAACTACTCGAAAGGTCCCCCCTCAAAGCGGTTTGACCAGGTGAAGGAACACGCAAAGAGAGCCCCCGGTGGCTTTTGTCCGCCAAGCGAGTGTGCCCTGTGGAATGTCAGAATTTTATTTTTACCGGCCTGCCGCTGTTACTGACGGAACGAATGCAGACCGTGTGAAAGGTCATCATTTTATCTGCCATTAAGTAAGCGAACGCTTCGGCTCGGATCAGAGGTAACTTTGTTTCAAGAACTGCAATCTTTTGCAGACGTCTGTGGCGTTTTGGGCAGAGGGACGGTTCTAAACCAATCTGAACCAGAGGCAATTTCGCAGCCAGCCGTCGGTGGTTTCCCGTCCCAGGAATGTAAGGTGCTTGCAGCGGGAGGTTGTTTCGTTAGCGCTTCCGCTTCCGTCAGTGAAGTTCTTTTGCGGAACGTTTGTAGATCCCGTCGTCTTCTTCAAGCTATGTCGTTTGAGCACTGTGCTGATAGGCTGACGTAAGAAAACAGGACACAAAACATACAAGGCAAGAGTGCAAAGCACGGAGCTCTAGGCAAAGGCGGTCCGAACCGCAGCAAAGCAGGAGGTCGACATGTCCAAATAGACCAAATCAGAAACTAAGCAGAGAAAAACGGCATCTGTAGAGAAAGAAAACAGATGGAGGAAAAGAAAGAAAGAACAGGAGGATCCCCTCCCCTCCCCCCTGCGAATGGCGATCGACCTGTACGGCGTGCAAATTTCACTATAGATGTGTAGGCAATTACAGCACCTGATTGGTTGATTGAGTTTCAACAAACCATGAATGAATTGCTTTTACGAGTGAACAACCGCCTGGTGATGTCATCAAAACAAATAGTAGTAACTGTCAGAACACGTTCTATATGGTGTGGTGCTTTTGAAATTAAAGCAAACAACTCTAACTGTGCACAAAAGTAAACTATGAAATGATCATTTAATAAGTTTGTTATTAAAATTTAATAAGTTCCGTCAAAATCCTCATAAACCTCAACAAATGTAATATATAAATTAATATGTTATATCAGTTCTATAAATAAAATATTCATATGTAATATAATTAATAGTAGTAATTAAAGGTCAAACTTTTTTTAAATGCATAATGTTTAGTAGAGTTATTCTTAAACATGTTTGTATAACAAAAAAATGCAAATATTTAGCTTCTGTTCTATTATATTATACAGATATACCATCATATTTCTAATAGCAGTGATACAATTACATAAAATGAACAATAATCCCTTACTTTGTCACTGGGTGAGTATTTTAATTATAGTAACTAACTACTTTGTAACAAATTACAACATTTCTATTTTGAGAGTGTAATGTCATAGGATATTTGATTAATGTACTGTTTTTTTTTACACCATATTAACCAAGTGGTATTTGTATGTTGCAGGTGAAGCTTGATGTTAAAGTGTGGTTTAAGGATGAATCCAGTGGCATCCCATCTGGCGGCAACAGGATAAGCTGTCTTCGACTCCAGAGCTGGACTTGGAAAAACACAGAGGAGCAATAGACATTTCAGAACACCTGTACCAGAGATTACTATTAAAATGGACTGCATATTATTGTCATAGAGTTAGATAATATTATTCTAAATTAAATTCAAATGATTTAGGCAATTTTTAAAAACTAATGAAGTCATTCCCACAAATACAAAAACAAACACGAGGTTGTATTTTATTATCCAAATTTATTAAAAGTGCAAAAGAAAAGTTCTAAACATATTGTTAGACCTGCCTGACATAAAAATGTATACAATAGATATGCTTTGTACATAATAAATAAAAACACATTACTATCACTATAATTAATTATAATATTATTGATAGCAGTTATAGATATAAGAATATATTTGTATATATTAACAAAAAATTGCTGCCAGGTCAAGCATTCAGATATTTAAAAAAAAGTTCCTTTAAAAAAACAAAGCTAACAATTAAAGTATAAAAAGCAACATTAGTAATCAAAAAGTAGTTATTAAAATACTTTAACCTAATATTATATAATTATTAAACATAAATAAAAAAACAAGAAAACAATCAACGAAATACTGTAAACTGTAAAACAATATAACATACATTTCTGCATCAAAACAGTGTTACAAAAATCAACAAATTAGTGTAAAACATTGTAAACTTAAACAAATGTTAATATAACATTCATTTCTGCAACAATAACAACAATCAACAAATTAGTGCAAACTGTAAACGGTTGCATTTTTGCAACAATAAATTACAATCTACAAATCAGTTTAAAACAATGTATACTCTGAAACAATCAACTGGTAATATTACATACATTTGTGCAACAATAAGTGTAACAACAATGAACAAATTAGTGCAAACTGTAAAAAACTGTAAACTTTAAAACAAATAAATGTTAATATAACATTTATGCATCAATAACAGTGTTGCAAAAATTAACAAATTAGTGTAAAACACTGTAAACTCTCAAACAACCTACTGTTATAATAACATATACATTTTTGCAACAATAACATGGATAGAGGTCCAGTTAGACAGACTCGGAGGCCTGAGACTGAGAGACCAAGAGAACGTCCACAGCCCTTTTAAAGTCTTCAAAACAGTCAAAGTCTGCCCAGCAAGGTTTGTGGACGTGGAGGCTTTGGAGCTCTCACAGTAGCTCTTCTTTCTGTATTTCTTGTGGCCTTGAGTTGGTTGGCCACACAGAGCACAGATGTAAACCTTCACTGAGGTTGGATGTCCAGAGCCACTGAGTTCTGCCTTTTTCCTCTTGTAGACTGTTGATCTTGAGGGCAACAGTGGCTGCGGCAAGGAAACAGCGGGAGGTGCAGTCAGCGGAGTGTGTGTGTGCCGGAGTCCTGCGGGCATTGAATGGGCTGGCGCAGGAACTGGTTGAGCAAGAGCAGAGGGAGGGACAGGTAAGATTTGCGGGAGCCTTTGCTTCAACTTTCGGGTGCCGGCCAGAGAAGTGGTGATGGGATACTGCACTGCAGGCCGGCTGGTATGGGGTCTTTCCTCTTGAAGCTCCTCAGCGGGGGGCTGGCTGGTGCTGGAGACGCTCTGGTGACGACGGAGGACAGACAGACCCTGGTCGGTGACGTTTGTGGCTGACAGCGCCTCCTGCCTCCTGATGAACTTGCTCACGCACTTTGAATTTTATTTCAGGATGGGAATCCTGAGTTTGCTGAGCTGATCATCGTCCACCGTCACTCTCTGCTGCACACGCTGGTACAGTTTAGTGATCTGCTGTTTCAGCGGTGACCCTTTAGCTTTTCCTCCAACACCAGGATGAAGCCACAGCTGTTTGACCAGGCAGTACATCAGCTGGTTCTTTCTGGAGTCCACCAAGTGTGCGGCTGAGTAGCGCTGGCTGAACTTGAGCTTCTGCACCAGGGACGCCTCAGTCGGATCTCCACTGGTGCGGCCAAACAGAGCATTGCCCCAGCGTGCAGAGTAGAGGCTGTCGAATTGTTGGATGCTGCGGTCATGGAGGTCAAGCTTGTTCCAGGCGCTGATGACCTTTTGCCTGGTCGACTCATTTAGGGCAAGTTTTCCTTCCTCCAGGGCGATCTCAACAAGGACTTTACACAGATCCTCTACGTGCTGGTACCCAGGCAGATGATTGGGACCGCACACGTCCTCCACACAGGGGTCAAATTCAGCAGCCACTGCCTGATCGGTGAGGCACAGACAGTTCCTCAGAGGAGTCAGGCTGTCCCTCTCGCGGTCTGAGGAGTAGCCCACATCATCATCTTCCTCCTGCGGCTCTTCCTCTGCCACCCCAGCAGGAACATCTTCGTCCTCATCCTCATCTGCCTGAAGTGTCTCTCTAGTCTGAGCGTAATGATCAGGAGCACTGAAGGGCTCTGAGGACTGGGAAAACAGGTACTCCAGACCAATGCGCTCATCACCAGCAGGAACCGGAGGCCTGTAGTTTGCCTCCTCCACCTCCCCAAATAGCTCCTGGCACCTTTGGTTTAGGCGATGAGCTGCGAAAGTCTGCTGAGGGGACTTTTCCTTCCACCATTCCAGGAAATTCTGGAGGGTGAAACCACATCCGGTCATCCTTCAGGACTTTCCTCCACTTTCTGTTTCCATATTTGTCTTTATAAGACATGGCCCTCTGAAAGAGTCCCCTTTCAGTATCCTCCTTCAGCCTCAGTATGTCCAGACTCCCACATCTTGTGCCAACCCTTAAATGACACCTGGTAATTAGAATAACCGAGACAAAACTGTGTTAAAATCAGTTAAAGTTGATTTTTTTTAGTATTAAAGTATACATTTTTCTTATCTTAACATCCACAGAGTACTTTGACAGTTACCTCAGAATGTGCTGGGTCACTGTGTGTTGACCCACCAGATGACCTTCTAGGTTGAACGTCAGAAGAAGCCAAGGCAAGAACTGATGAGGCTGATACAGGAGCCGATGAAGAAGCCAAGGCAGGAACTGATGAGGCTGATACAGGAGCTGATGAAAAAGCCTGGCAAGGAACTGATGAGGCTGACGCAGGAGCCGATGAAGAAGACTGGCAAGGAACTGATGAGGCTGACGCAGGAGCCGATGAAGAAGACTGGCAAGGAACTGATGAGGCTTACGCAGGAGCCGATGAAGAAGACTGGCCAGGAACTGATGAGGCTGATGCAGGAGCCTCCAATAAAGAAGTCGACGCAGGAGCCTTCAACAAAGTAAGTATAATAGTTAAAACCTTTTTCATTGACATAATCATACTTTTTGCACAGTCTCCCCATCTATGCTCACAAAACTGTATTCAGGAGTATATACACCACCTAATTGTGATGTACAAACGATGAACTTACAGCAGACAGTGGAGAGTCTGAGTGGGGCTTCTGTGAAAGATCTGCACAGGAACGTTTTCTTCTCTTTGCTTCCCCGGCTCCTAAATGAGCACAGTTGTGATTATCAGAAGACAGTGTCTTAGTGTGATGAATTTTATTTATTAATGCACACTGTTGAAGCCGGAATTATAAGCCCCCCTGTTAAATTTTGGACTTTATTTTTCACAATTTATGTGTAATGGAGAGAGGACTTGTTCAGGCACATTTCTAAACATAATAGTTCTAATAACTTAATTTCTTATAATTTATCTTTGCCATGATGACAGAACATAATATTGGGTCACACTTTACAATAAGGTTTCATTAGATAATGTATTTACTAACATGAACTAATTCTGAACAATGCTTGTACAGCATTTTTAATCATAGTTCAACATGTACTAATGCTTTATTAAAATAATATTTAATGCTTAGTTGATGGACTGTGAGTTGGCATGGATGACTGTAACACGAACAAATACTGTATTTAGTGTATTGTTCATTGCTTGTTTATGGTAGTAAATGCTTTGACATTAACTAATACAAACTTATTGTAAAGTGTCACCCTTTAAGGTAACACTTTAGAGTAATAGTTCATTAGTTAATATTAGTTAATGCATTTACTGACATGACTTAGAAGTTTAATACATTAATTATTTTTTATGTTTAAGTTAAATAACGTTAGTTCATTAATGCACTGTGCATTAAGTAATGTCAACAAGCACAACTTTGGATTTTAATAATGCATTAATGTTGAACTGTAATTAATAAATGCTGCACAAGATTGGTGACACTTAGTGTTAGTAAATTGATTAACTAAAGGACTATTATACTGAAGTGTTACCATATTCAGATTGAGAAAGTAAAGGCTTAACTAGCTTAACACTGTTTGTTCTGTAGCCAATAGAAAAACATAAATAATAAAACAAATAAAACTTTCTTCAGAAGATAATATACTATCGTAAGTACTGTGAAAATGTCCTTGCTCCATTAGCTTGAATAAATATTTCACAGGAGCGCCCTCAACTGTAGTTCATGCTGCAACAGTATGAATAAATGTTAATAAGTGACATTCATTATGTGATATACCTTGTCTTTCAGAAGAGCTGAGTGGTTTCTTCGGCAGACCGCCTTTGTCCTCAACTGCTAAAGAAGGACAAAAAAAAAAAAAAAAAACACAAGATAGGCAAAAGTCAGTGTCAAAGCAGCAAGAAGACAATCTCATCAGCACAGTGTTTTGATGTTGTGTTTCATTGATTATGCTATGGTACATAAACAATTAAAGACAATAATAAAGGGTTATACACACTGCAAATTTTAGATTGTAGATTTAACTACCTTAGAGTTCAAATTAACACTCCCTCAGTGTTTATATGGGAACCACTATAAAAGTGTTAAAAATAACACTTTTGAAAGTGTTAAAAAAATTTACCACTCAGAGAGTGTTAATTAGCAAACTCTTATTGTGTAAAATATATGTAAAATGTATATCAAAATACTGGCAGCAGTAGCCAAAACCAAAGATGAAATCAACTGAGAATAAAACTTTTAATAAAATAATAATTAATAAAAAAATAAACAAATTACAAAATAAAATTAATTTTTATTTTCAACATCTTTAAAACAACTCATGACATTAAACAACTCATCATGGAGCTTCACTTATTACTGAGCTTTGGCTTTAATTCTGTCATGTGAACAAAAGCTCTTTATGAAATTTCTGTTGTTCATTTGAAGTCACCATGATGGAGGACAGAGTCTGCTTTAGTAGGGCTCTTCAACTTCTTGCTATAAATGGTTTTTTTTTTAATTTGGATGCTATAATTATTAGTGCTAATCACACTATTCTTACATGTAGCATGAAAATTCAAAAGAAAATGTGAGTGTCAGTCTGAAGAGATTAACTATGATATCAAAGCCATCTTCTCCTGCTTGTTTTCTAATTCAGTGTCACATTAGTTATGTGTGTGAAATAAATAAAATACATAAATGAAACCACTGCAGCTTTAACAATTAATGACTTTAAAAGCATGATTTACAATGTGAATGTGTGATCTATGGCAGCACTTAAAAACACACAGACATCAACAATTAGTCTTTGAATCTCAATAATGGTGACAAACAAAAAAATAAAAATCAATTGCAAAAACTACTGAAATATCACCTCCCAAACACAACACAAAATAAATAAAAAGTAAGAGATTGTAACAACATAAAGCTGCATAATTTATTTATGATGCAATGCATGCTGGGAGCTTTGTACTATGCTGGCACCCAGCATGAAATATGCAGCTTTTTTTCTTTTTAGCAACCATGGTTGAGGTTCATATCCTGATTCTTGATGTCTGTGTGTCATAAAGATCTGCTGGAGCTTTAGTGTATGACACTTTATATAACTCTAGAATTTTAACACTTCACTCTGAATTACCACAACACTTAAAAATTGAACACCAATGAATTTGCTGTGCACCTTGTGCTTCAAAAGCATTGAGGTTTTTTCACAAGTAGCGCATCATCTGCGCATCCACCGTCACCTCTAGAACCCGATGAGCTGGAGCTGGCCGCCACTGCAGGAAGAGGCCTGTCCTTTGGGGGTTTCTGTGAGTTACAAGTTGTAGTTTGCATGAAATGTTGCCAGCATGATATATATTTTTAATAAAGTAGTTAAAAAAAATAAAATAAAGCCTATATCTTTGCTGAGAATGTACTGCTGGAACCGCTTCAGTGTCACGAAAAATCTCGAGAAATGAAAAAACATCAAAAAATAACGAAAAATGAAATCTTGAAAGATCAAGAAAAATCATGAAAAATTATAAAATCTTGAAAAAGCACAAAAAATCACAAAAAATAAAAAATAATAAACAATTCAAAAAAATTAAAATTTTTGAAAATTCACAAAAAATGAATTTTTTTTAAAAAATAACAAAAAAAATTTTTTTTTAAAAATCGCAAAAAATCACAAAAAAGAAATTTTTTTTAAAAATCGCAAAAAAGAAAATTTTTTGAAAAATCGCAAAAAATGAACATTTTTTGAAAAATCGCAAAAAATGAAATTTTTTTACAAAATCGCAAAAAAATCACAAAAATGAAGTTTTTGAAAAATCACTAAAAATCACCAAAAATGAATTTTTTTGAAAAATCGCAAAAAATCACAAAAAATGATTTTTTTTGAAAAATCGCAAAATATGAAATTTTTTTGAAAAATCACAAAACTTGAAAATTTTTTGAAAAATCACAAAAAATCACAAAAAATGAAATTTTTTTGAAAAATCGCAAAATATGAATTTTTTTTAAAAATCGCAAAACGAAATTTTTTAGAAAAATCACAAAAAATCACAAAAAATTAATTTTTTTTGAAAAATCGCAAAATATGAAATTTTTTTGAAAAATCGCAAAACATGAAAATTTTTTGAAAAATCTTAAAAAATCACAAAAATGAATTTTTTTTGAAAAATCGCAAAATATGAAAATTTTTTAAAAAATCGCAAAAAATGAAAATTTTTTGAAAAATCGCAAAATATGAAAATTTTTTGAAAAATCGCAAAATATGAACAATTTTTGAAAAATTGCAAAAAATGAAAATTTTTTGAAAAATTGCAAAATATGAACATTTTTTGAAAAATCGCAAAATATATAATTTTTTGAAAAATCGCAAAACATGAAATTTTTTTGAAAAATCACAAAAAATGTAAATTTTTTGAAAAATCGCAAAATCACAAAAAATGGAAAATTTTTGAAAAATTGCAAAATATGAAAAAATTTTTAAAATCACAAAAAATGAAAATTTTTTGAAAAATCGCAAAAAATCACAAAAAATGAATTTTTTTGAAAAATCGCAAAATATGAAATTTTTTTGAAAAATCACAAAACACGAAAATTTTTTGAAAAATCGCAAAAAATCACAAAAATGAATTTTTTTTGAAAAATCGCAAAATATGAACATTTTTTGAAAAATCGCAAAAAATGAAAATTTTTTGAAAAATCGCAAAATATGAAAATTTTTTGAAAAATCGCAAAATATGAACAATTTTTGAAAAATTGCAAAAAATGAAAATTTTTTGAAAAATTGCAAAATATGAACATTTTTTGAAAAATCGCAAAATATATAATTTTTTGAAAAATCGCAAAACATAAAATTTTTTTGAAAAATCACAAAAAATGTAAATTTTTTGAAAAATCGCAAAATCACAAAAAATGGAAAATTTTTGAAAAATTGCAAAATATGAAAAAATTTTTAAAATCACAAAAAATGAAAATTTTTTGAAAAATCACAAAAAATCACAAAAATTATTTTTTTTTGAAAAATCGCAAAATATGAAATTTTTTTGAAAAATCGCAAAACATGAAAATTTTTAGAAAAATCGCAAAAAATCACAAAAAATGAAAATTTTTTGAAAAATCGCAAAATATGAACAATTTTTGAAAAATCGCAAAAAATGAAAATTTTTTGAAAAATCGCAAAATATGAAAACATTTTTAAAAATCGCAAAAAATGAAAATTTTTTGAAAATTGGCAAAACATGAAAATTTTTTGAAAAATCGCAAAATATGGAAATTTTTTTGAAAAATCGCAAAACA